GCTGCCGCCCCCCACCCCCCACCATATAGGTGACAGAATAATGGTGTGGTTGGGTGGGAGAATTGGAGAAAGGCCAGACAAACTGGATTTTGGGTGCGGGAGCTAGGGATGTTCCCCAAAATAATTTGAATCTAGAGGCTGTTAAGTTCTGGCAAAGATTTGCTTTACCAAACCACTCACAAAAACTGTTTTAAAACATGTACTGGAAATCATGGATATTCAATATATATAACAACCTTAAATTTGCATTTGAGGCAGCAAAGAATATTAAGTTCTTCCACTCTAATCTCTTTTGTGGAGCTTCGCTCGCCCCAATTTCACCTTCTTTTCCATTACCCCAGCACGTAAGTGTTTTGTGAGGAAAATAGGAGGGTCTGGAGTCCTCCCCCAGAAATCGTTTATATTTTTGATGCTCAATTAGTGACAGCATTTCTGGAATTTTCTGGAGCATCCACAAGGGTAACGAGTAAATGAGAAGACTGTTTTAATTAAGGCTATTTTTGTTAGTTTGGTGACTGCACAAATGGGTTTAGAACTGCACATTTTGTGTAGAACTGCACGTTAAAATAAACCCTGCCTGAGTCAATCTGAAACTTTATTGAAACAGCATTGATATTAATTTTAACTTTATTACACACCTTTCCTTTTTCTTTCACAGTCGATACCCAGTATTCGTCTTCACTGTCACTTAAGTTGCTGATTTTTCTCACCCTTTTACCTGCTTTTCACTTCCTTGCATAATGATTCCTCTTGCCACAATTCCTACACTAAAGTCTCCACGCCGGACAAGACATTCTACCATTTGTATTTGGCCACGGGCCACCACAGTCAAAGCATTCCTTGTTTTTGGATGGTTGTTTTGATCCTCTCTTCCCACTATTTGTTCTTTAGAATGTTCTCGTTCTTTACTGTCTTTGGATTGCTGTTTGACCTTCAGAATTGAAGGATTCTCCATTTCTTTTGCCTGAACATCTGCTATTTCCATAGCTCTTGCTGCATTACTAGATTTGCAAGTGCATGAGAGATCGCAGAGAGAGAAGCATTTCTGAACGATTTGATCCTTTATTTCGCGATCAATACTATGAAAGTCACACCTGTTGGCAACTTCTCGAAGACGAGTTACGAATTTGTTAATGGATTCGTCCTGATAATTCTTAATTCGTCCTGATAATTCTTCATATCATGTGGAAACCGAATTTAATAATTTATATATGTTTAATATGCATCAGTCAAATCCAAGCGTGCCATCCCCCCGGGCAACCACGGGGCATTTGTCTCGGTAGCACGTCCTGGAGGAGGGGGATTTGCACGCAACCTTTGCCCGATGATGGGGCATTTGTAATGAGGGTTTACTCTCAATTTCAATTTGCTTTTGAAATCTTCAAATGTTTGTCTGTAACTTCGGAATGTTCATTGCCGAGATTCATTTCGAATTCCGATTATTTATGATGATTCAATAGCTTTTAAGCTATGTGATTGGCTGGCTTATTTAACTAGGCAATTACAAATGACAAAGCTTCATGATCATCGTAAATCATTGAAACGAACTTCAAAACGTGCATTCCACAACGTATACATTCCCAACTTACATAGTCAGATTTCAAAAGAAAAGTGAAATCGAGAGTAAGATGCAACCTTGTTTATTCAAGACTTTCAAACATAAATGCAGTTTATATAGGTTGTTGTGAAGTAGAATACGCCTATTTCACTAAATCTATGTGGGCAAAACATTTCTCAGAAATAGATGTCCAAAATATACCGTAGATCGGAAAACGAGTAAAGTATGAACGAAAGCAAGCTGCATCAAGAATAGTGTTTGGTCTCGCCACGAGTTGCGAGCAAACATTTTATCGACTGATTTAAGAGCAAAAGTCCTTTGTTTGAATTATTTAGAGTGTTGATTTTCATGAAAGAGGAAAGAAGCATCAGGAAAATGTCAAGTTGAGAATTCAAGAGGTAGGCAAAACTTTCAATTAGCCTTTCTCACGCTATGCGACCAGGCCTTGTCCCGCATTTGGGGGTGTCAAAACGCGCAGCACTGAACAGAGAGTGGCAACAAGTGCTTGCAGAATGTCCGTAAAATTAGCTGTAAATGATAACTGGTTATTGTAATTAACTGTGCTTTAATACAAATTCAAACGTTGTACTAAGTCCTTGACAAATTTAAACTCTATACTAACGCCCGTATTCTAAAAGCTCACTTACACTCACACTCAATGAGTGGAAGTTCAACCTGAGCTTCTCTCGAGTGTCATTGCTGTTTTTGAATAGCTGGATGGTTAGTGTCGTACCTTACTATGTGATTACTCACCCTCCAGCTATTCAAAAACAGCATTGACATTCAAGAGAAGCTCAGATTTAACCTCCACTCAGTGAGTGTGAGTGAGCTTTTAGAATACAGGCGTAAGTCCTTGCACCCGATCGCAGGTTCGATTCCTGCCAGGGACCTAAAGTTGCATCGCAGCTGTTCCTGGTTCCATATACAGTACCCTCAACTATTATTCAATCGAGTGAGATGCCAACAAAATTTTGATATTTACCCATAACCTACACGTGGCAGTACATACCAGATGATCTTGATACGCGGAAAAGTACTGGCACTAGTTGTCAAATAGAAATCCATTTTATGATTAAAACAACTGAATATCTCCTGCAATATACTTTATTTCGATTCCATATTTTTCTCAGAGCTAGAGTTCTCATAACCAAACATAATTACAAAATTTCAACTAGTTTCATAAAGAATAGCGGAAAATATAATTGATTGAATACATCAAAATGGATTTCTATTCGGACAACCCTTTCTCAGCGCTAATTGGCTAAAATACGAACACGAGATCACCTGGTAGTATATATTCATGAACTTGTGGTTAGAGCTCGACAACTGGCCTCTGTAGCTCGACCAGTTGGTCAGAGAGCTGCACCGGAATCGCAGGTTCGATTCCTGCCATTCGATTTTAGGTAAGATTTTCTCCTTTTGGAGGATGTGAAGGAGTGAATGAGTTATGAATGTTTCAGGTTATGAAATCTCATAACAACATCATTAAGTAATCTACTCCTTCACATCCTGCAAAAGGATGAAAATCGCAGCAAGAATCGCCTGTGTAAACGGGTTTGTAGAAAGGCTTTGCGTAAATCACCGGTTAAACATACTGGGTAAAATCTTCCACGAAATAACACATTCCACAATTTGTTTTGTAGAGGGGGCCTGGG